ATAATATATATTATATTAGATATTACATATTAATCACATGTCAATTATATAATAGAGACTATAGGAACAAAGTTATGAAATCTTATCAGCCATAGCTAAACCCCTTGAAGGAATTAATCATTAAACTCAGGGATCATACATTCAGGGCCATCTAAATCATAGCATAGTTCACAATGACAATGTTGTGCATCCTATTTCGGTGAGTAGCAACTGGGGTCCTAAAAGTTTGTGAAATCCTCTAAGGTGCGGCAGTTGGGATTTCCCCATCCAGAGCGAAGAAGAGTACAGAAAATCAAAGCTCCAGGAAACAATTAGTCACAAAGGTTAGATGGTGCCCAGCCACCCCTACCAACCACTGTGATCTGGGTCACAACAGTAGGTCTGGACAGAGGGAAAGAAAAAAAATATAGAACGGAATTCAAAGTCACAAAAACGATCAGATTTACTGATCTGATAAAAGTTAATGGAATATCCAATACTATGACTCTTGGACACCCTTCAAACTTGGAAGTGAACTCACTCCCTTGGATTAGCTTTCAGCTAAACTATAGACAGGCCTATAAAAAGCAATAACACTGGGAAGGAGCACACTGTTTGGAAAATCAAACATAAGAGACCAAAAAAAATCACAAAGGCAGGAAACTCAAGAAATGACACTCCCATCAAGACTGGGCCTCAGTGTGCCCTAAAGGACAGGGTGGAGTACTCGATGAGGTGTCTAAGCTGTAAGTCTTTATGAGAGCCATCCGTCTCATCTTTCCCCTCATGCGCAGTTGGGGGGTTGCTTCCGTCTCCCTTTGGTTAGCAGCCCAGAGCTTAACACACTGCACTACTAGGGTACCTTCATAAGACAGGACGGGGCAGGAAAGAAGGATGAATAGAAACAAGGAATTCGTGGAGTGCATGGGAAGAGTGCCCTTACATTGAGTAGATTCAAATTATTTTCATGAAAAAATATATATACATATTCTATGAATATATATAAATAAGAAAGATACATAATTGTTGAATGGAAAATGAATTTTCTCTGTAACCTTTCACCCAAATCACAATTTAAAATAGAAAGTAAACGTCTCACTTCCCACTAGAACCCTCTTTTACCTGAACTCTGCTTAATTTTCAATTAACAATTTATCTGAAATCATATAGCATATTGATTTGCTCACTAGAACTTAGACTTCCTAATGTCTGAGAGTGTGTTTGTCTACTTCAGTATTCTATGCAATTGCTCTAGTAATAGTGTCCAGCATCTAGTGAGCACCTCAAACAGATTTTGAAGGATCTTAAGGAACTTTAAAAACGGCACATAAATATTTATACTAAGTAAGTAGTTCTTAAGGTGCCTAATAGTGTAGTGAGTTAAGAATTGGGCTGCAAACCAAAAGGCCAGCAGTTTGAACCTACTAGTCAATCTTTGGGAGAAAGATGAAGCTTTCTGCATCTTTAAAGATTTACAACCTTGGAAATCCCAAGGGGCCTTTCTACTCTGTCCTACAGAGCTGCTATGAGTTGGAACTGACTCAAGTGCAGTGAGCTTGGGTTAGGTAAGTAGTTCATAAATGAGCTAATATTATTGATTATATTCTTGAAAATGTGCGTGTAATGAAAGGATACTGACTAGGACAACATAATATAAAATTCATTTTCGAGTATCATTATAATAGCAATCCCCCATGATATCATAAAATGATGATATCCAAACTGTGCTGTGTCAATTATATTCACGTTACTAATCTGTTTGTTTGTAGACAGATATTGTCTTATATAATTTCATTTAAAGGTTTTTACTGAGAATGTGCTTAAAGTAAATCATCGAACAGATTTTAATGGTAGGTATTTTTCTATTGGTAACATTAAAACAAGTACTAGAAATATGGTAATAAGTATTTAAGATTGATTATATTAAAAACAAATTCAACTCTTGTTTCAAATTTAAACTCACATTTATACATAATTAATAACATTATTACAGAAAACAAATTAATCCTCACT